GGCTCGTATATGGACGCCAGCGCACCCGGTCACTTACTACTAGTGCTGCTGCTGTTGCTGCGACTGCTAGTGATAGCTGCGCGCCGTCCAGCCTTGCCAGCCTTGCGCCCAAGTCAGGCACCCTGACCACCACCGTCGCAATAACCCCCCTCCCTCTAACAGCGCATACGACTACCACCACCACCACCACCACCACCACCACCACTACCATCACCACCACTCCTCCCCCGACCTCCCCAACAATCCGTCATCCTGGCCGAACGCATCCATCCCGTGGCCATGAATCACGGCTACCCTCCCCGCGTCATGGGCGGGCCCCAGAGCGGGCCCAGCCAGCGTCTGAACGACCTGCTCGACAGCATCAGAACTGAATTCGAGACCGAATCTCAGCGCAGCGTCGACTACGAGGGGCAGAGTGAGTACAACTCGGTATAGCGGTCGCTTCGCTTCGCCGCGCATGGCGCCACCAGCTGGCGGACCTGGGCGCAACACAAGCAAACAGTGTCGCGCGCAATCGTAGAAACTTGGCTGACCATCACATCAATAGTCACTCGTCATATTCAAGAGATTGAACTGATCCGCGGCAAGGTCTACTCGCTTGAGCAGCAGCACAACCAGATGAAAGCAAAGTGAGCATGCATCGCGTCTGAGGCGTGCCTCCACTTGGCTGACAGCTTTTCGCAGGTACGAAGACAGAATCGCCCAGCTGGAGCGTGAGGTCGAGGCTCGTGGCGGGCCCAGCCAGAATTCGCAGCACCATGGTCCCTCGCAGCCCCAGCCCCCACAGATCGGTCATGGACCCAGCAATCTTTTTGGTGGTATCATGGCAGGCAGCGCTGCCCAAGGTGGTCCAGGACTGGCTCCTCCTCCCCAGGAACCGCAGCAGCCGCAGGGCATGCCTCCACACCTAGGGCCCCAGGGTCCGCCAGGTCTCAACCCGCCGCCGGGTCCCCCTCAGCACTTTGGGGGCTATCAGCCTGGGCCATCCGTAAATGGTAAACGTTGTGGTGGCTAGATCATTGCCTGGTTTGATGCTAATCTGTGACAGGTTATGGACAACCTCCGCAGCCCACGGCTTCGCCTGGTGCGAAGCGCCCGGGTGGTCCTGGACGTGGTCCTCCAGCACCTGCCACCCCCCAGCAGAACAACCCAGGCCCATACCCTGGCTCGCCCGCCATTCCTCGACCGACCCCTCCGCCCCACCACCCGCACGGTGCCCCCATGGCCCCGAATAACATCCCACTGAGCCAAAGCAATGTGCTGGCTGACCTCGATATCGAGCAATTGCCAGACAACCTGAAGAAGGAGGGCAATGATTGGTTTGCCGTCTTCAACCCACGCTCGAGACGTGTCTTGGACGTCGATCTCATCCACAATCTACCCCACCAGAGCGTCGTGTGCTGCGTGCGCTTCAGTTTGGACGGGCGATTGGTCGCAACGGGCTGCAACCGCTCGGCCCAGATTTTCGAGGTGGACTCTGGAAACCCAGTCGCACATCTCCAGGATGGCAGCTTGCCTGAAGACGGCGATTTGTACATCAGGAGCGTTTGCTTCAGCCCCAACAGCGTATACCTTGCGACGGGTGCCGAAGACAAGGTCATCAGGGTCTGGGACATCAACTCCCGTACCATCAAGCACCAGTTCACCGGACACGAGCAGGACATCTACTCGTTGGACTTTGCTAGGAATGGCAAGCTCATCGCCTCGGGCAGTGGTGACCGTAGTGTTCGTCTGTGGGATCTTGAGTCCAACACCCAAGTCTCCAACTTCTCCATCGAGGACGGCGTCACGACTGTTGCCATTTCCCCTGACAACCTTTTCGTCGCTGCTGGATCTTTGGACAAGAGTGTTCGCGTGTGGGATATCCAGACGGGTGCGTTGGTCGTACGCCTCGAAGGCGAGCAGGGCCACAAGGACAGCGTTTACTCGGTGGCCTTTGCTCCTTCGGGCAACCGCTTAGTCAGTGGCAGTCTGGACAAGACGATCAAAATGTGGGAACTGTCCACCTCGAGGAGCTTCGCTCCAGGCCATCCTCCCAGTGGCAAGTGCATTCGTACATTCGAAGGCCATAAGGTATGCTCAAGTGGATGCCTTTTCCCGCTGACACGGACTGACAAAAATGTAGGACTTTGTGCTTAGTGTCGCACTCACTCCCCATGGCGATTGGGTCCTCAGTGGTTCCAAGGATCGCGGCGTTCAATTCTGGGACCCCCACACGGGTGTTGCCCAACTCATGCTTCAGGGACACAAGAACTCCGGTAAGTCTATGTGTCATCATACGGCGACCTTTCCCGATCACATACTAATGATCTCCAGTTATTTCCGTTGCTCCCAGCCCTGCAGGCGGTGTCTTCGCAACAGGCAGTGGCGACATGCGCGCACGCATCTGGCGGTACGTCCTATTCCCACCCCCCTCGTCCGCTTTCAAGAACACTTGTACTAACACGCTGTAGATTCGACAGGTATCCTGGACCTTAGTCTGTTCCTCCCTCGGTCGACGAATACTCTGCCTGCAGCTCTCCGCCGATGCAGTGACTTTTCCCTTGGTACACGGGAGCTGCGAGGAAGAAGAACAATCACCCCGTCGCTACCTGCAATATGCCCTACCCTGTCTGGGTCTCTCTTCTGCTCTTGCTGAATGCCATGGGTCACACACGATGACGAGCTATTTTCTTCTCTCTCTCTCTCTCTCTCTCTCTCTTCTACCTGGACTTGGGCGCGAGGAGGAATGGGGGGTTGGTGGGGATGCTGGGTCCCTGGATACTTTTGTATTGCCGTGTTATCTAGGAGACGAGTTTTTTATTTTATTTTTCGGGGCCCTTTGTTATGTCTCCATTTATATTTGGTATTCTTTGAGTTGGCTTTTTTGCTCTCTTGGGATGACTTGTGTGCTGATGATGTGTGTGTTGGGTTAAATGTTGGGTTAAATGTTGGGTTGTGGAGGGGATGGAGGGGGGGATGTGTGAGAGGGGGTTGTGGAAGGGAGGTTGGGAATGGGTGTGTATTTTGGTGGGGTGTTTTTAAACAAAAATTCGTACTTTTTTGATTGTGAAGTTGGATTTTTTTGTTAATCATTGGGTTGTGTTTTGTGTGGTGTTGTGTTGGCTTGTTTGACTGGGTTGTTTTGTTTCGAGGGGGGATATCAGGGTAAATGCTGTATTGGCTGCGTTGGTATTGCTGTCGTACTTTTTCTCTCTTTTTCTTCCTCCAACTCCTTCCTTCCCACCTCCCCTAAAAGCCCCAGTATACATACAATCCCACATCCTTTTCTTCCCAAACTCCTCCTTTTCTTTGCTCTTCTCTTCTCTTCTTTGCTCTTCTCTTCTCTTCTTTGCTCTTCTCTTCTCTTCTTTGCTCTTCTCTTCTCTTCTTTGCTCCTAAACATAAAACAGATACTTGGAATTTATGGCCTCCCGTATGTTTTTTTCTTTTTTTGGCATATCTGTGTGTAAGGAGAGTGGGTGGGCAGATCGTGTTGCGCGGGTTTTCTCTTTGATTTTCTGGTTCTCTAGGGGAAGTATGCGGGGATGGGGATGGGGATGCGGATGGGGGATGGGTTTAATGTACCGTTTTCACTGGAGAGAAATCTCGGGCTAGCCCAGCGCTGTACCGGTACGTCTACTTCAAAGTCTACTTCAAAGTTCAGCCCCTGCTCTTTTCTCTCCCGTACGTAATTGTACTCTGCAGTCTTTAGACGCGGATCATGTGTCACTGTGCTAACTAGCTACCTACATCCTTTACAATCTGGTCAACTGCGTGTTGTGCTTGAGATTTTGCAGGGTGCGGGTTGGTGGGTATGTTCTTTCAGTAAGTATGGTTGTTTGATAGGCGCATGTGGTTTGGTCTAGGCTCTATAGGCGCGAAAAAGATGATTGTCGTTGAATCTTGATATCCAATTTTTGCTTTCTAGCGCGTACGATATTATATGTACAAGTGTTGTTACTCTCCATCACTACCTGTATCCCAGCCCCGTACTGCGGCGGATATGTGGATTTGCGGTTTTGCCCTTAGGTAGGAGGAGATTCACTTTGTTTGGGTATTGACCTGGGGATGTTTTGTTTGAAAGATGGGGTGGGGTGGTTGATGTAAGAGAAGGGCGTGGGTGGGTGCTAGGTATGTTGTTGGGATTTGATTTCTTGCAATGATAGTGAAGAGTCGGAGCACTACGGTACAAAACCGGTTTACAGTAGCCATATTTATCTAAAGTAGACTAAGAAGTGGTTTAGGTAGAAGAAGTAAACCTAAATAGGGTTTATTATACCATGTAATCCACAAAAGTAAACTACTTTTATTTCTACTTCTATTAATCTACTAGTATTACGTAGTAATACCCAGTTTCCTACTATTTAAGTATTTTACCCCTCCTTTCTTTAATCTTCTTCACCACCTCTATCACCACCTCTATCACCACCTCTACCACCACCTCCACCACCTCCACCACCTCTATCACCACCACCACCTCCACCACCTCCACCACCACCACCTCTATCACTACCACCACCTCCACCACCTCTACCACCACCTCTACCACTACCTCTACCACCACCTCTATCACCACCACCTCTATTATCACCACCACCTCTATTATCACCACCACCTCTATTATCACCACCTCCTATTAGTAAAAATATTATAACTCATTATTATGTCATATATGCGTATAGCGTGAAGCTAATCTTTTCTACCCCTTTTAGTCTTAGTTAGGTATTATAGCGTATAATAGATATAAAACTACTTTTTATACTTAATTTAAACCACCTATAATAAAAGTAAACCACCACTTTAAACCTATTTACGGGTATACACGAGGTCAGTTTACACCTATATAGTAAACCCCTAGCGTACCATTCTACAGTAAACAATTTTTTACCGTAGTGGAGAATGATGCTAGGTATGCTGATCATGTGTTGGAACCGCAAAGGACATGTCTGTGTTTGGCACTCGACATGATGACAGTACCTTGGGGATCAGTAGAGTGAATCGATCGCCAGGTACGCCGCTTGCGGGTCGATATCAAATACCAAATTTCGCCGCTTCTCGGGTCATGTGTTAGCAGCATCTGTTAGCGCCCCTACTGTGGCCAGAACTGCATCAACCCGAGAACAATTGATATGAAAAGCACCCGCCCAGACACATGGTACACGCGACATGTTGTTGAGAACCCAACTCGTTTTGAAATGGTTGACTACACTTCCATGGCACTGCCGCCCACCTCTTCAGCTCCATGGTGTTTGCAGCGGGTCCTCGGGTCGGGCCAACCACGATATCAGCTAGACGTCAGTTGACATCCAATTCGATGCAACGGTCCAGGGTGTCCTATCGGCCGGTGCACAAGTGGTATCTGATCGTTCTCGTTTGCCACGACGTGTACGTCTCTCTGGATTAGGTAGATGGGGTTGGGATTCGTGCTATGCTTGTCCGTTGTGGCACTGGTGGTGCCCATGCCGATGAACGATGCTGATGCCGATCATGTAAAAGGAATTCATCGAGAGCATTTACATGCATCCCACTGCCTAATCTCCCTCTTGAATACGGAATCTCGCGTATACGTGTGGTATACGCGACTTCCGTGTTCCATGGTGCAAGAAATATCGTCTCAACGGAGCCACGTGGATTGCCGTGTGGAAGCGAGGCCAGTTGGTGACATATGCTGCTGTAGTGTAATAATCTCACTTGTAGAGAATTTGCCCCAGTGGGATTATTGAGTCGCTTAGGCTGGAACTTGCAATATCGTTGCGTTAGCGAGTGGTGATACTACCTGCCTTGGATTTCGAGGGGAGTCATTGGTGACAATAGGCGATAAGTGGAGGGGAAAAGTTAGGAGTAAGCGAAAGTATAATGGGATATGAAATTCATGCAATGATGACTGCATGGTCGTATGGACATACTCTGGAAAGTTTACAGGCCTGCTTTTGTAGACTATCCGGCGAGGTGGTAACATGAGGAGTACGAACTGGGGGTTGGAAATGAAAGAAAGGTGTCTGAGAAGAAACCAGACGATAACGGTTGCGAGGAGTGGAGCCACTTGAGGCAGCAAAGCATTCTTGAACCAGTCAATCATGAAAAACGTTCCTTGGGACTGTTTGATGTCAGTGCAGACTGCTCAAAGCTGAATGCTCTATTGAGAAGTCCTTCATTATGATTTCACTCAGCTTGTGTTCATCCCAGAGGTCAACCACCGATATCGAATCAAACAATCCGATTCTCCCTCGTTTCGTGGGCACGGGGATGCGCTATACACCTCGCTCTCGTGTTTCCTCGGGTCGAATGTACAACTTGCAAGTGTCGCCTCCGAATGGTTGTCAAGTGTCATCGCACCAATCTATCTGAATCAAGCAGGGCCCAGCGCTCGCTTATCTCCGAATCCAAGCTATAGGTTCGCTTACTCAATTGAACGTCATAATATTCTGACGTATATAAAGTTGTCTTTTCTTATGCTATCATACAGTATTGACTTCTTCATATGGGCCAACATTACTCAGCATAGCACCTTGCAAAAAAGATATGTCATTGGAGCCCAATTAGTATCTAGCCGTGTATTCTGGTTCCTAGGCGGCCAAAAAGGTTACACACAAGGCAGGTGAAATATCTGGTAAGCCCGTTCAAGTCCCTGCTTCGGATAGACGTAGTATTTTGGTTCAGGGGCAAGGCAAGAGGGCTCTCATCGTCCGCTTTTCTCCACAGTCATCGGAGGACTCCAATCATTCAATCCATGCAAACGCCGTGCAACTACGCGTATGTTTACTAAGATGAGCAAAGCGTGCATGCAGGAGAGGTGGAGAGGAGCGCCGGACCTGCAGTCACAGACGAGGCGTTCTCGCCATAGCGTGGCGATGCATCGATTGACCTTGAAAGTGGCGGCGTAAGAGCCGAAGAGAAGCGGTACGGTAGAGTTCGGATTCCCTGCATCCTCGGAATAAAGGAACGACCGGTTATCCGTTACACGGCAGTCCCCTTCTCGAATAAATGTCGTGTACGGAGAAGCAAGTTCACGGCACGCGACCCACAGATAGTGGAAAATTTGGACACCTGAGGGCCGGGGGCGATGCACCTTCACCACTGTACCACCGTGAAGAAGAGACCTTGTTGCAGCATGCTGTGATCCCTACAATAGGCTCAGATCCTGTATGCTAGCGAGATGTGATATCGAAGGCCCGGAGTGTTGGTTGGAACGGTCACACAGTATGTAAAGGGGTCCGATATAGGGAATCGCGTTACCCGACGGAGAAGTGTTTGGACGTATTCGTGTAACCTAAACGATGTTTAATTGAGAAAAGAGTATGGATGCTCCTCGTGAAATGAAAACTAAGAGTGAGTAGAGAGGTTTGAGAGCTTCAGCGGTCTTCTAGCGTTGTGGTACCTACAAGATATCCAATCGTTCGCTTGACCCATGCTTTCATCTAATGCAGTCTTACACATGCGAATTAAGTGAGAGCATCTTCGTTATTTCTACGGCGTGAACTAACAGTGCATCTCTGATCATTGTGCTCTCAAGGCCTCGTAAGGAGGCACTGTAGGTCGACAGCCCCTCACTGCTTCACTCGCTCAAAATGACTATGTAGCGACAATGCAGGCGCACATTGATGAAGACCAGTCTATTCCAGTTAGCGAGATTGCGGGCTTGGTGATACCATAACGAGTCCTAGACCGCACAGCCGCACGTTCACGGCGCGTGGCTGGTTACTCAAGCCAGGCGTCTGAGACTCTGTGCTCGCTCGCATATGCAATGTTCCTGCGAGAATCTCGAGCATAGATGGGCAGAATGGATCAGGGGGTACACTTGGAGTGAGATGCATGGCGCTGGAAAGGTCTCGTCTCCACCACCCCACTTCTCTGAGCGATTATCCTTCGATGAGACAGTTTCCCAAGATGACGAAGTTGTGCCGGTGACGTAAGGCTTTGTAGTGCGAGTCTGATGATGAACCTGGGCTGCCACTTCGCCGTTCATTTTGACGCTCGGTGCGCAACTGCCCAAACGAGTCCCACGATGGTGTATTGAGGCGCCAAGGTGAAGCTGATGAGCACATGACCAAGTCGTATTTGTTGCCTAGGACGAAACAACCCGGCTCTTTCTCGTTCCATGCGAATACGTGAACTTCGATTCATGTGCCCTTGTTATTCACCGGGATGAACCGCTGTAAGCCTGGTTTTTGCCAATAAGGATTCCAATACCCACGTTGAATGACTCGAAGTACGACTTCAGGTTACCAAAGACGTAGAAACAAGAAAAAATATGGCACAGAGAGCTGGTCCAGCCTGTGCTCGGAGTATATCCGGACCGGCCTGGCCTGGGGAGCGTGGGCTGAACTCATTGCGAAGCCTTGAGTGTGGCGAGAGTCATGGGCGTGCTTCGGCAGAGGCTGTGGCTGCGTTTCGGTCCGGGGGCACTGGCAGGCGTGACAGGCAACTTGCGGCGTGCGCTGACGGGCCGCCGCAGCTAGAGGGCATTATTCAAGAGCTTGGAAGGGCATTCGATTTATCATCGAGACAGCTCACGCTCTATCGTAGACTGCGGTACTATCCTGGCCCGC